CCTTTAAAAGCCCAAGTCAGATCATGAAAGTTTTCTGCTCAAATCCCTGCAATGGCTCCACTTCTCTTTAGAGTAAAAGCCAAAACCCTTGCCCTGGCTTATAAAGCATTGATCGATTCCCTGTTACAGTTCTGATCTCACATAACCCTCACTCATTATGCTCCAGTCACATCAGCCTTGCTACTACAAATTCCTAGCCATGCTCTTGCTTCTTGGGTAGGGCTTGCCCTTCCCTGTGTGTCTCCTGCTCTTCCCCCAGATATCCTTAGAGCTATCTTTCTGTGTCATTCAAGTCTTTGCTCATGTTCCGCCTCTTCAATGAGATTCCCTGACCACCTCATTCAAACCTGCAATCTATCTCTTCTCCAGCATTCTAATTTTCTTTACTCTGCTCTACAGTTTTTCTTTATATTCAAATTCTTTATTATAATTGTTGTTTATTGTGTCTCTCTTTCCTAATATAGTGATTTTATGAGGACAGAGATCTTTGTGTAATCATTGATGTATTCCAGTTCCTAGATTGGTGCCTGGCCTGGCACATGATAGGTGCTCAAAAATATTTGTTGACTGATGAAATAAGCCCTAGAATTAGTAAAAATTAGAGCTAAAAGAGTCCTTAAAGATGATCTAGTCTATTATCCCCTAATAATAGCTAACTAGTGTTTAGTCATCTGTAATTTATTTCATTTTTATATTTTAATCTAATAATGTTTTACTCAATTCATTATATCCAAAGTATTATATCATTATATAATCAGTATGAAATTATTAATAAAATATTTTATGTTCTTTTAATTTGTACTGTCTCCCTCCCCTCCAGTTTCTTTGAGATATACTTCATACAGAACATTGTATCAATTTTCAGTATACAACATAATGACTTGGTATATACATATATTGCAAAATGATTACCATAAGTTTAGTTAAGATCCATCTCCTCCAATAGTTACACATTTCTTTAATGTGATGAGACCTTTTAAATTTCTTTTAAACTGATAATTTGTAGTTATACCCTGTTTCCCCCAAAATCAGTGTCTTATATTAATTTTTTCTCCCAAAGTTGCGCTAGGTCTTATTTTCAGAGGATGTCTTACTTTCGGGGAAATACAGTATTTGCTAAGGATTTTTTTTAAGTCCCTGAAATATTAGTAATAGTTTGTTTTCTGTGAATTATGCAACTTTATGATTTAAATGTTGTATGTCTATTAAATACATCTAGTTGATTTTAGGAAAATCAGATTTCTATGCAAGTATATTTCATAGTGAAATAATTACCTCTGAGATATTGGTATTTCACCATAATTTAAAAAACAAAAATCTGTAAAAATAACCATACAATTCAAATAATTGTTCATTAACGGAAATTTAATCCCTTCTGCTGAGTCTAAAGCATCAGAAATTGGAAAAAATTTCCAGGAATTAGTGAATTGTTTTACAAGGTAAAAATGCTTTTTATAGCTTACCAGTAAAACTTAATAAAACTGCTTGTCTTCACAAAGCAGAAATAGTCTCAAGAAATCATTTTTAAAATTGTATTTGTATTTTTGATTTTTTTAATTACTAAAATTAAAAATATAATAAAAACATAATATGAGGACAGAGAAGCAGGACAATTATTTTCCATGATAATTTTAAAAGACTAATAAATTTTACTTGAAAAACACCTAGAACAAGACATACTGATTCTTTGGATGGGTATGTAACAATGAAAATTGTGTCAATAAACGTAGGTAGCTGAAACCGGTTTGGCTCAGTGGATAGAGCATTGGCCTGCGGACTGAAAGGTCCCAGGTTCGATTCTGGTCAAGGGCATGTACCTAGGTTGTGGGCACATTCCTGGTAGGAGGCAGCTGGTCGATGTTTCTCTCTCATCAACATTTCTACCTCTCTGTCCCTCTCCCTTCCTCTCTGTAAAAAATCAATAAAATATTTAAAAAATAACATGTAGGTAGTTTGATAAGTAAACTGAGACTTTGAAATAAGAAAATCATTTGCAATCACTTTGCAAGAGAGTAAACAGCAGATGGTGAAACAGGCCTTTAACTTCAATGTGTAAATCCAGTTGCAACTTCCTCAGTTTTCCAACCTTCACATCAACTTTAATAAGATTAATTTGATAAATTTCATAAATATTCATACACAGAACATTACTCTCTCAAAATTAATCATACCAACCATAATGTTTCTATCTCCATTTAAAAAAAAATGTCTTTATTGATTAAGGTATCACATATTTGTCCTCAACTCCCCATTCCAATCCCCCACCCCTCCCCACTCATTTCCCCAACCCCCTATTGTCCTTGACAGCTGTGTCCATTTGTTTATGCTTTTATGAAAGAAGTTAATTTACAATATCTTGTATTATAGTCATTTCTGTTTTGTAGCTTATTTATAAACTATGGGCCCAATGCATGAATTTGTGAACCTTGAGGCTGTGATGGGCACAGGGGCAGGTCTTGGCCCATCCTCTGCACCTCTGCCTGGCCCCTCCTGCCATGGCCTCCTAGTCCTATGTCTGCCGGAAACCCCACTCCTGCTGCTGCTCCCACCCACTGATGGTGCCAGCTCTGCTCACACCTGCTGACAGCGTGGAACCATTGGAGCCTGCGCCAGCAGCAGGTGCGAGCACGGCCATCAGTGGGTGTGAGCAGTGGCTGCTGCCTCAGTGGCCCCTCAGGAGCAGTGGTAGCTGAAGAAGCCTGAGGGGTGATCAGGGCCGGCAGCTACCGCTCGCACCCATTGATGGTGCTGAGTGATCAGGGCTAGAACCAGGCGCTGGCAGCAGGTGTGAGTGGCGGCTCCAGTGCCAGCAGCAGATTGAGCAGAGCCAATGCTGGCAGCGGGTGAGAGTGCTGGGTGGGACTGCAGTGTGTGGGAGCAAAGAACTTTCAGTAACCACCAGAGGCTCACCCCAATGTTAGCTACCGACGCTGCCCCACCTTGGTCTGCCGCCCCCATTCACCTGCTCCACCATCCCGCTGCTGCCAATGCCCATCATGTTCTGTGCTCTGCCACCTGCCATGCATGCCAGGTTCCATGCATGCCCCCTGGTGGTCAGCACATGTCATAGTGACTGGTTGTTTGGTTGTTCTGCCATTCAGTATATTAGAGGCCTGGTGCAGGGTAATTCATGCACTCGGAGGGGTCCCTCGGCCTGGCCTGCACCCTCTCACAATCTGGGACTCCTAAGTAGAAGCCCTAGGGTCCCTAGGCCTGGCCTGAGGTCAGAGCCTATTGGGGCTTTTCTTCCCCCAGCTGCAGGCAACTGGCCCTACCCCTGCTGCTGCCACTGCTTGCCATCTGTGCATCGCTGTCTCCCCCCCCCCCCCCCCCCGCCAGTAGCCTTCCTCTGCAAGCCGCAGGCTGGGGTGCAAGGGCTTGGTTGGCTGGGCCTCTCTCTTTCTCTGCTGGGGAGTGGGCCAGCCCTGCGAGGAGCTGTCTATCTGGTCACCCAAACCACTCTGCCTGCCTCCCTGATTGCCCCTAACTTCTTGCTTGGGGGTGAGGCCAGCTTGTAAGGGGCCATTGTGGTCTGGTCTCTGGTTGTTTCACTTGTGATGCCTCTGGCCTTTTATTATATAGAATATTACCTCTTCTATTTGCCTGTATGCTAAGAGTTAGAGGAGTTTCTAATTTCATTCAGGAAAATTCATCAACATTTATTAAATTACTAGTGACCTGTTGCAGGAATATTCCTGCAAGACTTCTGGCGGGCTTCCCTCCCGCCACTGCCACCTCTACTGCCCCCCTCCACCTCTCCCGCTGCAAGGGGCAGGGTGGGGTGGAGTGGGGTGGGCGGGATGGCTCTCCCTGACTTGCCTCGCCTGCTGACGCCACCTCTGGGGCCCTGCATGCCCCTGCTGCATGCCCCCCCTGCCCACCCGATCCACCCTGTCTGCCGCTCCCACTGCCATCGCCTCTGCCACAGTGCACCTCACCCCGCCCTGCCCCCCATGCGCTGCCAGTGCTTTCTCTCCAGCAGTGGCAGCCGCCTTGCTTTCCATGTTCCCTCCCTCTTCTTTCTATGCTGTCTTCAGTCTTCACTCTTCTCTCCCTCCACGTATGCAAATTAACCCACCAAGTATGGTGGGTTAATTTGCATACCCACTCTGATAGGCTGGTGGGCGTGGCCTGTAGGTGTAGCAGAGTGGTGAATTTGCATATTATTATGTAGGATAATCATGCTTGGCAATTTGAGAGTTGGAAAAATCTCTATAACCTTGCATTTTATAAAAATACTAGAGGCTTGGTGCACAAAATTCACGCACAGGGGTGTGTGTCCCTCAGCTCAGTCTGCACCCTCTCCAATATGGGACCCCTTGAGGGATGTCCGACTGCCCATTTAAGCCCGATCCCGGTAGGATCGGGCTTAAACAGGCAGTCAGATATCCTTCTCACAACCCAAAACTGCTGGTTCCCAACTCTCACCTGCCTGCCTTCCTGATTGCCCCTAATCACTTCTGTCTGCCAGCCTGATCACCCCCTAACTATTCCCCTGCCAGCCTGATTGCTCCTAACTGCCCTCCCCTGCGGGCCTGGTTACCCCTCACTGCCCTCCCCTGAAGGCTTGGTCACCCACAACTGCCCTCCCTTGCAGGCCTGGTGCCTCCCAACTGCCCTCCCCTTCTGGCCATCTTGTGGTGGCCATCTTGTGTCCACATGGGGGCAGTCATCTTGTGTGTTGGAGTGATGGTCAATTTGCATATTATTCTTTTATTAGATAGGATTATTGTCACTTTATCTTCTGCATTAAACATCAGATAACTACTTTAAGTTGTTTTTTTCTTCAAAAGTGTTATGCTTAAGAATTTTCTTATAATTGCTAAACAAGAGAGATCATAATCATAGAAGAGATCTTCCTACAAACAATGAAATAAACTTCAAAAAAAAATCCAACCCTTCAATCTACTAAAACTGGCTGTGTAAGTGCCACATCAACCAAAGAATGCCTTTTTTGGTTTTCAGTTTCCATCTTCAATGTGGAAGCAAGCACTCCTTACCTTAACGAAACTCATCCGGATAGTGCACATCTTAGTTAACTCATAGACTACTTCAAATCCATGGTGAACTGATTGAGCAAGCAGCTGAGCAAAAAGCTGGTTGTTGAAGATCTTGAGGCTACAACCACTGGGGATCTTGCAGACAGTGGCTGGGTGGAAACCGTGCTGATAGTTGCAGTTTCGACTCTGGACAAAGATGCTGCTGTCGCTCACACACTCAGCATAGACCTCTCCCCCAACATAATATAAATGCACACCTATGAGACAAAAACAGTCTTCAAATACCTGCACCATCTTTAGTTTAGCTGTATCACCATTCTCTTCTCATTGACCTTTGTAACCTGAAGAAATGTGACTGTCGACTGTGAAGTTAATTTTCATATCACCAATTACAGATTAGTAAGATATGTGATATAAATGCCAACTTGTTTTAATTCTTATTTGTGCTTTTTCCATGAGTCCATTTAAAATAAAAGTGAATTGCAACCCATGTTTACCATCAGATTACAGAACAATTAAATCAGCTCCTTCCATTATTTTCTCAATCTCACATTCATTCACTTTAAAAGTAAGCTCACCCAGTAGGTATGGCTCAGAGGTTAAATGTTGACACATTAACTAGGAGGTCACAGCTTGATTTCTGGTCAGGGCACATGCCCAAGTTGCAGGCTTGATCCCCGTTAGGGGGCATGCAGGAGGCAGCTGATCGATAATGTTTCTCTCTATTTATTGATATTTCCATCTCTCTATCCCACTCCCTTCCTCTCTCTCTCTAAAAATCAATAAAAACATATTTAAAAGAATAAGTAAAAGTAAGTTTATAATATTTAATACAAAATACTTAATGCCTAAAATATCAAATAGCTCTTCTGGTACATATATAAGCAAAAAAATTAAAATTGGACACAGTAATATGAAAAATATTACTTAAGTGTATACACTAAACCCACTTCAGAGGAAACAATAAATGAAGTTTAAATTTTATTTTACCAACAATTATAAATCCATTTCTCTTCATAAATACCTAAAAGAGACCTAATTCTTTTTAAAGCTTATCAATTTCTAATATAGATCATAGAAATAATGTCTATTTTTTACTTATAAACAAAGAAATGCTTGCCACATTTTCAGATATAGACAATCAAAGCATAGTTTATATTACTCTCTCCCACATTCTTGGAATTAAAAGGCACTGCTTATGCCGAAACCAATTTGGCTCAGTGGATAGAGCATCGGTCTGCAGACTGATTTGAATCCAGGTTTGATTCCGGTCAAGGGCATGTACATTGGTTGCGGGCACATCCCCAGTGGGGGGGTACAGGAGGCAGCTGGTCGATGATTCTCTCTCATCGATGTTTCCATCTATCCCTCTCTCTTCCTCTCTGTAAAAAATCAATAAAATATTAAAAATAAATAAATAAATAAATAAATAAATAAATAAATAAATGGCACTGCTCACACTAATTTTTACTCCAAATTAAATGTGCGTTATTTCCTTTCAAATTTCTGGTTTTGTAATTCAACATAAATTTATAGCAAGTGACTGGGGTTAGATAAAATGAAGAAAGTCTGTAGATATTAAATACCAGAACAAATTTTCTCCAACCTTTTAATGGAAATAAAATTCTCTACCACTACTACATGCTTGTAAATTTAATCATCCTGCAGTTACAAGATATTCCTAGAAATGAAATAGAATATACTTAAAGTGATATATTTTAGATTGCCTCAAAATAAACAAAATTTTAAAGTAGAATTTAGAGCCCATCAGTAGTTCTCAGATCCAAATATGCATAACTTTGCATTTAGGAAACATTACTGAGATAGCTGCTGAATTTCTTTTTCAGGTTCTAAGTCGCACTTGAGGACCTTTGTATGTGAATACCTCCCAACATATCTATTGTCTCCTTTTCCCATCTTCTTTCCCTTAATACAATTTTAAAAAATAATGGTTTTCAGGATTATGTATTCCAACCATATCACTCTGAAGAAACTGATCCAGGGTCGCACAGATAAAGCACAGTTGATATTCAGGCTAAGGTTCCCCTCTCTCTATACTGATCAGACCGCTCTTCTCTTCTCTCAGTCTTCCTCTCCCTTTTTCTCTCATATCCATTACTCATTCTCCCTGAATGGCTTGGGGTCTGACACCCATGGCTCAGGCCCTGAGGTATAGGCAGAAGTATGTTCTTAATTGGCTAGCATATAATTACTTGATTGGACTGACATGTTGGAAATTACAAAAGAGAACCTCCAAACCCTGACTTCCTTGAAGAACTCTGTGAACTCCAGGTGGCAGGCCTGCCTCTGGGGTGCTTGTGGTGTTTCATAAAAAAGAAAAAGAAAAGAAAGTAAGATAATGAGAGAGGTGTTAGGAGTTAGACATAAGCAACTGGGTTGGGGCCTACCATAGGATCCTGAACAAGGGTCAGACTAACATTGCCTTCAGCTCATTTCTCTATGCACAGCCCAGCATCCAGCAGACCACCAGTGGATTCTTGGCACAAGCTCAGAAGAAAATGACATGATCTCAATGTAACCTTACTAGAGTCCTGGACCAATTATAATAAAATTGGCATTGTGGTTTTGGACACACACACCCCCCTCAATATATTTTTCTGTATGTATATGGGTAAAAGAATGTGCAGAAAAAATATAGTTATGTAACTATTTTTTGTCAATCATCCCTGAATGCAAATGAAAGTCTCCACCCAGAAAATCCCTATTTAAACAATATAACCCAGGAGTTCAAGGTCATTGTGTCTCTTAACTGGCCCACCACTCATTTATCTTCAATAAACCCCACTTTGCTTTACTTCCATTTTCGTTGACCTTAAAATATTTTCTACATTGACAAGAAGAACTGGACTCCCAGCCAATAACCCTAATTGGTAACATCTTTTTGGCACCACAACTCGGATTTCACAAACTGTAAGTTCTCTGGCCACAAGGCTGGAAAAAAGACTGCTTTACTCTTCCTTCTTGTCCAGGATTCGGAGATTAAGGCAGTTCTTCTAGTTAAAAAGGGATAACTGCCTGCCAGTGGAAAACTAAAATAACTATGAGCACCTGGAGATGAATTGACACCAAAGATATGAGGCACATCTTCCTCCCAGTCTGTGTAAACAGACACTCTCAGGTGACTGAGGGTCCTTGTGGAGGTGTCAGAGGATCTCCCTAGTGATATGCAGGAGCCTCATAGAGACTCAACAATACAATTGTAATTAAACTTTGACTTGTATAAGAAGTGCATATAAGGTTTGGTCACCCAGCACTCCAAATCCTCATGGTGGTTTTAGACAGCAGTGAGAGAAACTGAGACACGTAAAAGGAGAGAGGATGACCATCAGGCTTTACTGCCTCTTGGAGCCACCTCCAAAAGCACCATACTCTGACCCACCACATTGATACCCAAGAATTCTGCTCACAGTCATGACTCCAACTCATCTACATTCTTGGCATATAATTCTCATCATCCATGCATTGTTAGAATTTAATACACCTCTCCTTCCCAACCAGATTCTCTTTGCCTACACTCTAGCTTGCCTCTTGGCTACTATTGTTTCTAGGAAATCTATCTGTCCTTTTCCAGGTAGACCTATGGGTAAATCTTTCTATCACTTAGAAAATCTCTCAGGGTTTAACAGGGTCAAGTCTCTATAGCACTTGGTGGAAAGTGCCATGATAAATTTCTACAGTATCATGGGTTATGGCAGGCACAGAGTTCTCACAATTTGGACAATGTAAGAACTCTCAGAGTATGGTGTAGATATCATCAAAGGAATAGGAGAGACACAGACTATAAGATATGATGCAGAAGTCCAAGGCACAAAACAATTAAAAGGTAAAGGACATCATAAATTTACCTCAAACTATTAGGTAGAAAGTTAAAGTGGGGTCTGCCCTGGGGTCCTGTACAGGGGTCAGACCAACACTGCCTTCAGTTCATTTCTCTATGGGCAACCCAGCATCTAGCAGACCACCAGCAGGCAGATTCAGAACCAGTGGGTTCTTGGTGCAAGCTCAGAAGAGAATGACATGACCTTAATGCAACCTTACTAGGGTCCTGGACTAATTATAATAAAATTTGCACTGTGGTTTTGACTCTCCCTACCCTCTACCCCCATGGGTCTTTCAGTGTGCATTATGGGTAAGGGTATGTGCAAAAAGATATAATTATATAAACTTTTTCTGTCAATCATCCTTGAATGCAAATTAAAGTTTCCATCCAGAAAATCCCTCATTTAAACCATATAATCCAGCAGTTCAGGTTGGTTCTCTCTCTCTCTCTCTCTCTCTCTCTCTCTCTCTCTCTCTCTCTCTCCAGTAAACCCCATTTTGCTTTACTTTCATTTTCGTTGATCTTAAAATCTTTTCTGCATTGATGAGAAGATCGAGGTTCCAGCCAGTAATCCCAATAGGTAACAGAGGGAGAGTGGGCCTGTGTTTACTACATATTTGAATTTAATAACCTTCAAATAATAATTCTCCCAAACCCATTAAGTAGAATAGTTAAGATTTGCTATCTAACTTTGGTCTTTATTTAGGAGATGTTTTCAATCCTGTTTATGTCTTATCTGAAACCACAGCCCAGTTAGCAGAATAACAAAGGAGAGAAGAGCTTGGGCAGTTGGGCAGTAGGTGAGCATACTGAGCTAAAAGAGGGAGCAGAGCCAGTGAGATGGGATGAGCACATGAAAGGCTAAGCCAGCTCAGAACCACAAGGATGAAATCCAAGTCCAATCTGAAGGAGGCTGGTTTTGGCTAGACACAGCAGCATCTAAAGAAGTGTCAAGTAGACACATGATTTTATTTACAACAATATAGTAGGCCAAAATAGTGCCTTTAAATGTGCTTTTTAATTAATTTTTTAGAGAGGGGAAGTGTGTGAGAGAGAAACATCGATATGAGAGAGTCAGCTGCTTCTTGAACTCACCCCGACCAGGAATCGAACCCCCAACCTGGGCATGTGCCCTGACCAGGAATCAAACTAGCAACATTTTGGTGCATGGGACAAGGCTCAACCAACTGAGCCACACCAGCCAGGGCCAAAATAGTGGCTTTATGCCACTTACATTAGATCCTGTATAATTATAGAGACCAGCAAGCAATAAAGATAAGTGCCCAAAGAAAGCTATCTGAGATGACCAAGAGAACCAAGACATTATGCTCATCAGGCAAGTTCTACCCATACTTTGAACTACAGCTCTTCTTGGGCTACATCTTTCTTTATTTGAACTTTCTATTTGTGTGTGAC